CCGAACGTCGAGTTTACCACAGCCTGCTTCGACTATGCCAACGATTCTCAGTCCGCTACCGGTTTTCGCAGCAAGTACCGTGCTTCACAAAAGTCCCTCAAGCGGTTCTTGCCGAGACCAAGGCGAAATTTGCTGCTGCATTTTAGGATAACTTTCGCGACACTGCGCCACGTGACATTATCAACGTGGATGAAACATCTGTTTACTACGACATGCCCCCGACAAAGACTCTTGCTAAAGTTAGGGGATCATCCAAGGTTGACAAGAGCCAAAGAGCACTCCGACAGGATTACAGCCGTCCTCTCCGTGCGTTCCAATGGTGAAAAGTTAGCAATTCTTTTCATCCTCAAGGGCAAGCCAGGTGGGCCGATCGATACTTGGAAGTGCCGACATTTTCAACCTGGTCATGCTTACGTCGTGCAAGAGAATGCGTGGATGGATACAAAAGGCTGGAAACTGTACAGTATCTGACTGAGCTGCTCAAGTTCGAAATTGATGGGATTTATGTGATTTTTGCTGACAATCTTGATTGTCATGTGTCTGCGGCGTCCTATGACATGGTGTCGTCTGAAGTGTTTAGTGTTTTGGAACCATTGCCCAAGGATTCGACAAGTGTTCTCCAACCTTTGGATGTTGGTGTCATGGAGCCGTTGAAGAGCGAGCTTCGTTTGCAAGTGGATTCACGAAAAGCCGGTTGTTTCTGCAGCTGAAAAACGCATGGCTATAGTTAAGCGCACTATTGAAGCCTGGGAGAACATGCCATGTGAAACCATCACTCGCTCATTTGAAAATTCGTTGCCACGGACTCTTGTGGAGAAGCTTGTCCCTTGAAAATATATTTCATTTTCGAAATATTTTTGGTTTTCAGATATATTGTAGTATTTGTTGCTAGTCGTCGTGGTCGTAGCTGAGCATTAAATGACCTATTTTCTTCCAATCATCGTGGATATGGCACTTCAATTCAAAAACGGTTTGAATGAAAATACTCTCAATTCTCGTCGAGGGTAATTTTATTCCCCATACAAATTTCAAGATATTTATCTAGAACCACTGGGGACATTTTTCTGTCGCTCACTGTACAGGTAACGATGGAAAAATTCACCCAGTGGTACTCGTTCATGCTTTTGGAAAAAAAATATGGACATGAAATTCTGAACACTAGAGCAAAATCCCAATATTTTAGCCAATGGGTGGCACTTTTTAACACGACGAAGGACATGATATGATACACGTTCTAATTGCAGTACATGAGATATAACCTTGGATTTTCTAATCGCGACGATACTTGAGTGCAAATCTCTTTCAAGGGACCTTGTCTAATTTCCTATACATATTCATCCAGCCCAATTCATCGATACAGATTGAATTCAAACAATCTTTTGTAAGGGATCCATTTTGTCCATGCCGAAAATGGAGTCGGGTGTCACCGCTGTGCCGCGGGTTCGATTCCGAATCCCCAGTCTATGCCAGTTGGTAAAGCTCGATCTCCTCAAAGAACGTAAGGCTTTCCTACACAAGAAGCAATCACCCCTCGTGGGACTATGGTATGATGGTTAGCCAGCAGCGAAAACGTTGTGGGGAGAGAATTTTTAAAATAAGTACGCAATATACCGTAGTTGATTTGTAAGGGCCGAACTCATGAGACATGGCTCCTGGTTGAAGTTGAGAAAAACCCCCACAATTCATTGGAATAGCACAGGAACAGATTATCGGATTTTAGGGTTTATAGATATTTGAGCATAATTGCTGGGTATATCTATTAAAACATCAAACTTCAAACAATGCGGTTTAACAGTGAACTACTTTCAAGAATGTTTATACGTTTTCAAAGTCTAGGAAATAGATGGTGGAATAGTTTAAGCAAAGACAGAACAAAATTCATCATAGAATTGTCATTCACTTTCCGATTTGACCCGTGGGCATCATCCGGATAAAATCCGGATATTGGTTGCTGTCTGTCGTCGTGATTGTGAATTGGCATTACTGTACGGAAGTCGGCCGCTATGGGGTTGCGTTTTCATAAGGCCAGGGTTCCCGGTAGCCTTCGGGACCGCTCTCTGGCCCCGCCCTTAGGTATTGCTGGGTCGGACACCGGCGGTGCGCCTCGGCCTTGGTATTACGATGAGTCCCTGAACTCATGGCACTCGCACGATGGGCAGCAGCAAGCCAATTCAAGGTACGAGAATATATCTTATACACACAATATCCTCACAATTCGACTAGGTCGTTCTCAACATCAGCTTCAGGTGCAAGCACAGTGAGCTCCATGGCACCGGTTTGTTCCAGGGCATCCATAACAGCAGCACTTTCAGCTTCGAGCATATTGTCGGACGTCGCAAGGCGTCCTGTCGCCTTGCGATGTCCGCTTCGCGCCATGGCACGAAATCCCGCGCAATGAGTGTCAATATTGTCTCCTAAACATGATAATTATTATTTGTGAGGTTCTATTGTCTGCTGGTGGTTCTTCCATAATTGCATGAATCAAAATATTATTTGATGGAGTTTGAGAGAGTTCAGCCCTTACAATTCAGCTACGGTATATGAAAATGTATACACTTTGGAATCACAAAATAATATCCCGCATAAAAAGATTGAATGAATCCATAGCACTATTCATGATTGGCTCGTTCAAATTTGCCGCTAGTGCTAACGTCTTCGCACACGAGCATGGGGCAGTACACGAGGTACTCAATCACGGATCGGCGCAAGTACTCGGACATGTTCGACCCAAGCGTCGTGTCGTCTCGATCATACGCCAGGGCCAATGGAATTGATTGGAGTACATGGAGGTGATGGCAGAAGAACAGGGAGAAGATCATGACCACTCGCCGCAATGCTAAGCGTGCATCGGTGGGTGGCCAAGGTAGACCAGAAAGCATCCCATTTGCTTCGTCGATGCATGACTTCATGAATGGTGTCCGAGACAACGAGCACTACCTCACCCATACTCATCTCATAACGTTCATGAAATTGCATCACAAGAATTGGCTCGAGGAGTACATGACTAACGAGAAGAACGACGACACGGTGTACAACAGCTTGCTTCGACTCTGCCAACGGTTTACCAACCGCTATCGCTTCTCGCAACGAGTGCCATGTGCGGCCAAGCTTCCACAAGCTGTGCTAACTGAGACGAAAGCTACATTTACAAAGGAGTTTTGTGAAAGTTAAAAGATACCACGCCTTCAGACATCATCAACGTCGACGAAACATCTGTCTAATATGACATGCCACCTGCGAAGACTTTGGCCAAGGTCGGCGGGTCATCCAAAGTGGATACCGAGCAAAAACACTCCAACCGCGTAAAGTCTGTGTTGTCAATACGATCCAATGGGGACAAGCTGCCAATAATGTTCATTGTCATGGGAGCTCCTGGTGGACCAATCGAGTGCGAAGTGGTACCTACTTATCCAGCTGGTCATATGTACGTTGTACAGGAAAAGGCATTGATGGACACGCGTGTATGGGAGATGTACTTGACTGATCTGCTCAAGTACAAGATCCAAGGCCCCTCTGTTATTTTGGCCGACAACTTGGATTGTCATGTCTCCCAAGCCTCGCACGACAAGGTGTCATCTGAACCGTTCAGTGCACTTGAGCCCCTGCCCAAGAGCTCCACCAGTGTCTGCCAACCTTTGGATGTGGGTGTGAAGGGGCCTCTGAAGTGCAAGTTGCGCTCGAAGTGGCTCCAAGAAGCACCTGTCACGACAGCGGCAGAAAAGCGCCTAACCATGATCAAGCGCACGATTGCAGCGTGGGAAGAGATGCCAATTTCACTGATCCGCCGTTCATTTGAGAAGGCAATCCCTGGTGCCCCCAATACCCCTTCACTGGCGCAATATTTCGTTTCATACGTAGTAATTGCGTTTCACAGTAATTACTCTTCACAGTAATTGAATTTTGTCGTGTAATGCACAGTTTCATTTCGTCGTTGTCGAAGATGGTTTTTTTGTCCAATCAAACAACAGTAGCAAATTTGGCGACCAATTTAATCACGATCAAAAACCATGACCAATTAATACATTACCAATACAAATATCAAGATAAGAAGGTAGTACCACTGGGTGAATTTTTCCGTCGTTACCTGTACCGATCGTTAAATGCCCTCATGCCTGCGAAATACAAAGAAAAAGACCCAAGAACGTAAAAGAATATAGAAGTGAGCGAGAAGACAGTAAACAAAGAGTAGAAATTCAGTAGAAGAGTAAAAGAAGAAAACAAAGTAGCGAAGAAGGAAACACAAGAGCGAGAAAGAAAAACAGGAAGATGGAACAATTTCTTCAAACATTGCTACAACAAGTTGAACGCAACGCATCATTGAAATGGTTGCCCAGACACAAAGTATGCAAGTACAAGCTTTGCAGGCAGCAAATGGACGCGCAGCTCGACACAAGAAGTCAAAGTAGAATGCCTTACAATGCCCAGTAACACGGAAGAATGGATGAGAGCATCAGTCTCGATATTCATCTAGTCAACACCTCTTTCAAGGCAAAGAATCTGAATCCACAACAGGACGCTGCAACACAAGAGCGTTGCATCACTCTAATCGTAGCCAACTTTCGAAGATTAGCAGCCGCATGGTAGCGTAGGTGAAGCAACGCTAGCTTCAGAACACTTTGGAGCAAATCAACTCTGTTATGGTTGGCCGCCAATATAGATAGGCTCAACAAAATCCATTCATGATTGCAATGAAGTGGACGCGTGACGCTTGACGTTCCGTGGCTCCTTCTACTGTTGTGAACAGTTGGTGACCAACAGTAGATGTTGATGGACTTGTCGGCTTTCAGCATTCGAATGTATATCTGGGTTGGGAGATGTACTTGAAACCCCTTGACTTTATGAACTGCGAAAACCTCAAATTCTGTCGTCTGACCAAATCGGGAGGGGGGAGATCGTACGATAATCAGGAAAATCTGAATTCCGACGAAAAATCCGTCGGAGAGTGCAAAAAAAGAGCCAATTCCATTACAGTATTGTTTCAGCCAATTGCCTACGGCGTTGCAAACTGTAAAAAACACTCCTGGAAAATGTTGGACGATGGCAACGTGGAGGACGACATCGACCTTCGGTTGGTCATGGAGGCCGTGAACAAAGTGCTGCATCGCCGTCAGTACTTTCGAGAGAAGCAGAGATCCCATCGACGAAGAAAACGGGACGATATCCGTCGTCTGCGTAGTCAAGTTGACGAGCTGGAGGCTCTTGCTGAAAACTTGCGTGCGGCCGCCCAGGCGAAACGCAAGTGTTCGACAGATCGGATGTGCAGTCTTGACGACGACGGCGGGTTGTCATGGCGCACTATTGCTGCCACATTTCGCCAAGAAACTCGTTCAACTCTGGCTGAATACACCGAACTGGTCGAGGTGTTGCGCCGCCATCGCGGTCTTCTCACTCGGATGCAAATGTGGGTGGAGCAGAATGACGTGGTTCCAGTACGTAATTTTGGCTTCGTATACTTGTATCGTCACGGTGGTGCAGGTCGTGCCTCGGTCAATCATCCGATGGCAGCAAGTGACGCTGAGCAACGACCCAGTTACGAGAAAACTGACCAAGGAATGGGCGACCCAGCAAATGTACCACAACACCGGCGCTGCATTTCAAGCGTTTCCTATGTCGACTGGTTGCGACGACTTTACTACGTTTGACTTGAGCATCAACGACAAGTGGGTCAACGCTGTCGAGTTTTCGCAGTACATTTGGGACGCGCCGATGGAACTGGTCGTGCACATGCTTCGCCACCACATGCAAGAGTTATCCAAGATCGATCCGTCGTCGGTACGTCCGCAAGCAGCCGTGGCACGCAGAGTCAGGTGGCCGTAGGTGTCATTCGAATGGACTGAAAACACTGTCGTGTTGCAAACGACGCTGCCAGACGGCGATGCCGCGACGGCCGTCGTCGCACACTTTCATGAAGCCGAGCGATGTGTCGTGGTGATGCGGCACCTTCAGAGCGACGACGCTTTCCGTGACGAAGATGGCACGCCGCTTCGAGACTCGCGGTCGCTGGTATGGTACGTCGTTGACGAGATGGTTTGCCAGACGCGCCAAACACGGTGTTTGCTTTGGTAGGTTTGACTTGCGACGACTTGGGACTGGACAAACAGTTGCGCGAGTTGCCAACTTGACGTCGATCCACTTAAAGCCGTCGGGCCAAGGCAGCATCGACGCGTTTGCGGCAAGCATGGGTCTCGACTTGACTAACGTCGCCGATGGCGAAGTACCCCACGTCCTTCGACAGTACGGCCTTAAGAAAGCCCGCGAGTCCGACATTGAGATGCGGTCGCACATCCTCGTCGTGTTGGAGCGGGTTCGCGCCAAACTCACGGTAGGGTGTGGACGGCAGCATTGACCTGGTCATGACGATCCCTGTCTACAATGGAAGCGGAACTCTCAGCCCGTCCAACATGCTTGGATATGCGTGGCAGTGTGGATGCCCATCTGTGTGGCGGCTCTTGACGGTGTCTCTGGTGTTGCTTGGAACCGTCGCTTTTGTCTACGGTCAGAGTGTGATGTCCACTTTCAGGCGGCTTTGTCGACATGTTCGCCATGGGCACACCAGCAGCTGCACATTCAACCGCGACGGACGGAGGAATCCGCGCTCGACCGTGCTTTGTCTGGACTTGAGACTTTTGGAATCACGACCTGTTCGACGGAATGTCGCCACCGCCTGCAGTTCAAGAATGGCCAGGGGGCGGCAGCAGCAGAATAGGCGGCTCAACGGGTCGAATTCGTACCAGAGAAGCATCGGAGTCATCGCCGGAGCGCGCACGAGCAGCACATGCATCTCGAGATCCATTAGCAGAGTACGTAGAGCTCTTGCATCGACTGCGGCGACGTAATCATGCAACCCCTCGTCCATCCTATGAAGTCGCTGAAACGGGACTGCGATGGGGGCTGGTACATGCAGTTTGTCGAAAAGACGTGGGCGCGGCCCGAGCCGACACTGAATCGCTTGCCAAGGCGTTGTGCAGCCAGCCGGCTCAAGGGCATCAGATATGGAACGCCCATAACATGTGCAGCTTGGACATCTCACGGGCAACGCGTCGCCCTCGCACAGTCTGGCCAAGTAGTGGGCGACACAGAATTCGACCGACAACACGACCGCCGCCTTTGTCCCGCTTCTTTTTCCCTCCGAAGTGGACGACGAGTGCATACATTGTCAGCACGACGATCGATGTCTCGGCAGCGAAGCCGGCAACGCGCTCGCAGTGCTTTGTGCCGCTGGAGATGGCTCCATGCATGCTGCAGCATCACATGGACGACTTGTCCAGCTTTGACCCGACAATTGGTACCAAGTGCCTTGTCCCCCGTTGGAGACGACGTCATCTGGGTGGTAGGAATCCACCGACGTGGGCTGCGCGCGCAAACCTTGAACTAACACGTCGACGTGCTCCGTTCTGTCGAGTTCAACTAGAGTGCGGTGGTCGTGAGGCAGGTCCGGCGATCCTGACGGAACACCGGCGACGGACCGCCAAGCATGATGTGGCAAGAGGTCCCCTTGCCGCACCGACCCGAAGGGTTGAGTCGGTTTGCCCTGCGCCTCTTGCCGAATGGCCGCACTCTGGATGACAAAATGCGAGCTCGTTGAAAGTGAACGAGTCTTGGCAAGTCTGCTGCGACAATCGATGGCTCCACTCGGTGTGGATATCATGTTCGGAAACAAGTGCGTCGCAAGCGCAGTCTCGATCGAAGCCACGAGATCGCCATGAACGAACGCACGAAGCATGTTCGCGTATGACTGCGTGCACCGGACACTGGTGCCACTGCCGAGTGAACGAGCTGCAACGATGTCGGCGGCACGATCTTGCACCCGGCCATCGCACCCCGCCGTCGATTCTCGTCGCACTCGTAGCAGCAAAGGTACACCGATCCAACCATGTCGCCCATGGTCGGGACGAACTGCGCTCGATATCCCCCTCCCTCGCGACTGCACGAATTGCGTCGATGGCGGTGTGCCCGTCTCGCGTGACTGGAAATGCTGCGGTCGAGTTGGACAAAACAAACGCACGTCCCGTCATAAAACGTGAGGCAAGCGCCATGACATAATCCAAGACAAGGGACATGTACACGATCTACGTAGCAGTAGTGGGTGGTGCTGCGAAAGGGAGACGTCGTGGCGGCTCTCTTGCGTGGGAACAAAGCCACGTACGTATGCGCCCCTCGTCTATGCTTCCGGTGTAGTTGATACGATGCAGGAACATGCAGCCTCCTTGCGCCAGTGTCCATGCATGTCCTCCACACCATCGAAGAAAACGACCATTCTTATAAGCGCCTGGGCTTGGTAAATACTACGCTACACTGATGGGTTGGGCGATCTCCACGTCCGCCACGTCGATGGGCTTGGGGGGTGGCGCCAATAAATAGCCAAACCGGAGACGCAGGGGCTCCGACTCTTTAAACACGGGCTTTTCAGCCTTTTGCAGCAGGAGAAGGGCATCGGACTGGGTGCCCGGGGCGCCGCCCTTCTTCTTGCCCTTCTTCGGGTTGACCGCGTTGTCGTCGTCAGCGGGTTTGTCAGACGGTTTGTTGTCCTTGGCAAACGCAAGCAGGCGGTCGCGGAACGAGTTGAACTTCTTCTTGCGCAGGAGCTTCTTTTCAAAAATGTCGTCCAGGTTCTTGTACCCGCCAAAGTCACGCTGGTCAATGATCTTGTTTGCGACCGCGTCGGCCAGGTCGAGCTCGGCAATGAGCTTTTCTTTCGGCGCCGAGTTGAGAAACTTGAGCGCAAACACCATCACTTTGGGCTCGACTTCGTACGTGAGTTCCGGGACGGCTTTCATCTTTGCTTCTTCGTGGGGGAGGCTGGTTGGGGCGGTCAATGCGAATTGAACAATGGCCTGGGCCGCGCTCGGCCCCGTTGGGGCCACATGTGCACTTTGCCCGTGGAAACTTCAACTTGAAACGGTGGAGACAGGGGCGACCCCGGTTGAAAAATCCATCCAATCAGCGGACGCATTTTCTAATGCCAACCAATCAATGCACGCCATTCGTAAACAAAGAGCAACTTCAACGAGCAACGAATTTGCTTCGCGACGTGGCAGGCCGAATGATCTAGAACGTGCGCCATGTCGAAGGAGACCACTCGAGAGAGCGACGCCGGCGGCGCGCGGCGTCGCGGAGCGGCGGCAGTGCGTGGATGGTCCGGACGAAGCATGTAGACGAGGCCACTGTCGGATTTATGTCGGTGCCAGGTCTACCCATCAAGGCGGCGGAATGACGTTGCAAATCGTGGTCAGTGGGACGGCCTGACCAACACACAACGGCATGTAACTTATCTCAAATGTCCAAAGATGCGCCATTGCCGCGCCCACGTGAGGCCGTTGCAAGGATGTGCGGTGCTTCCATTGCTATGTGCAATGGTGTGTTTCCATGCGTCGTTGCTCTGATGGATCCATCTCGACTCGCAATTGCCCGTCGTCAAGATCCCCCGCCTGGCATGTGGACCCGATATGTACGACAGGACATGTTAACACACTTGTCTGGTGCCTCACGTCCACGATGGTTGTGGTGCATGTACTGCTACTGTACCGACAGGAGAGCCCAGATCCGGGAAAACACAGTTGCTGGCGTCAGAGGAGCGTCGCAGGTGCGGCGGCGGCGGCGGCGCACGCGGGATGCGCACACGGACATGCATCGTTTCGTCCATCTTGGAACGACTCGATGTTTGTATGGCGTTTCAAAGTGCGGATATTCCGAGAAACGAGCCGATCGCTTTTTTGACTTGGTTTCAGTATCGGGACGACTTTGGCGACATTAAAATCCGTCCCATTCATTGGTCAACGCTCGGAAAATACACGCGCCCCTTCCGCAATATTCGGGTTCGCACAAAGAACTTGCCAACTTCAACTGCATGTTCTCGGCCCCGAAAAGTCACAGGCTTGTGGTCCCTCGCCACGTGCGCGCATCCTGCCCACACCCCATTTTCAATTTCCCCTTGAATCCCCCAACCGCCCCCCAGCTGCAAAGCGCCCCTCGTCTGTCCACAACCATGGTCAAAGCTGCCCCGGAACTCCATTACGAAGTCGATGTGAAAGTGATGACGTTTGCGCTCAAGTTTCTCAACACGGCGCCCAAGGAAAAGCTCATGGTCGAGCTTGACATGCCTGAATCGACCGCCGACAAAGTGATTGACCAACGCGACTTTGGCGGGTACAAAAACTTGGACGACATTTTTGAAAAGAAGCTCATGCGCAAGAAGAAGTTTAACGTGTTTCGAGACCGCCTGCTCGCGTATGCCAAGGACAACCGACCGACTGAAAAGGCCACCGACGACGACAGTGCCCCCACGTCGAAGAAAGGCAAGAAGAAGGGCGGCGCCACTACCCCCCAAGCTGATGCGCTGCTGCAGCTGCAAAAAGCGGAAAAACCCGTGTTTAAGGAAACCGAACCACTGCGCTTGCGCTTTGGATATTTATTGCCGACTCCCGTCGTGGAAGCTCCTGTCGAACATGAAGCTGAAGTGGTCGAAGTCGCCCAACCCGTGACCGTCGCTTAATCGCAGCGCGTTCCATGAGTAGTTTTGTCGATCGTTCTGCGTGTAACCCCAACAATTGTACATTTGCCCCTACGTCATGCGATTTCCACCGGTGCAAAACGAGTCGCGCCATCTCTAAAGAGTGTTCAACCTCGTGCTTGCCGAGCTAAAGACCCACCTGTCCGCCAGAATCAATTCGACCTCCAAGACGTTCTCCACCATGGCTTGAAACAGCGTCCGTGCTCGCGAATTTGAAATGTTGCTGACAAAGTCTACAAACATCGAGAAGGAGCTCGCCATCGTTCGTGCCGTGGTGGCTCCACCACACGACGGGATCCGCCACTTGCCGCTCGGACGCGCTGGACGTTCACACGGCGGTGCAAACTTCTGATAAAGTTATGTATTCGATAACGTATCCATGGCAATACTTTACTGAACGCATTCGACAAAGTCCGGTTTTTTTCAAGTGCGTTTTCTTCAGCCAATCCGAACGGAGGTCCAACGACCAGTCGTTTCCTTCCTTTGATTTGATTGGCTAATAAGTGGTCGGCCCGCCACCGATGCCATTTTGAATCTTTGCACCGACTCGGCACGGCGTCGCGTCTGCCGGCGGCGGCATGGATTAATCAGCCACTGGTTCGGTCTGTAACCTCCTGGCCTTCATGACCATGCAACAGCGGAAGAGGCTCTTAATTAGCTTGTGAGAGGATACGGAATGTTCGCATGCCGGTCTTGCGTCGCCTGTTCCTTTCAGTTCTTGGAAGGAAGTCCCAGGTGGCCACCGCTTTTACTCGCCAGTCTGGGCCCCGACATCATCTTGTGCGGCTGAATGCGTGATACGTTTTCATGGACTTGCTTCTACGTGACGAGACAAAAATAACCATCTTTCGACTGAACGGTCTCCAACCGATGTCGAGAATTTGCCAAGTTGTCCGATAGAATGCTCTCCACACCTGCATGTCCCTTCACAAGAGACAAGTTCTTCTCACACACTCTCTCGTCTTCTTTGTGCATGTCCTCCGTCGGCATAGTGCTTGATGTGGAAGTCCGCTGGTATGCATGACCGCCACCACACCGCAGCATCTCGATGAACTCCTTTGCCATACGCAGGCACACAGCCCCTCGCCACGCATTGCACGATGTCAGCGCTGGAACGAATCTCGCAGCACTCTTGACGTTTGCCGGTCGGTGGGAAGCGTTGCCTGCGCGAATGCTGGACCTAGCGTTCATATACATGTTGTGCCTCTCCCGAGTCGTTCGATTCACAACGACACGAAGCGAGAGGATCACCACCGCTAGTCGTCGGCGCCGACCAGTGTGACCAACGACAGGGACTTGTTGACGGAAGCTTGTGTGTCGCTGCACGATCGGGTGCATCGCGCGGTTGACACCCGGGTCAACATCCATGCCGCGCTGGGCAATTTCCACGGTGTCTGCCGGCGCGCTAACGATACGTTTGAAAGGTGGTGTACGTACGTATTGTTTCGGGCACCGACCAGACGGTACTCGTCGTGCCGACTGACGAGTTAGACGACTTTGTCACACCATCGCAAGCGCGCGTTGTCTGCAGCCGCCTGCATGACAAAACATTCCTCGCATCCTGGGCATTTTGTCGCCTTCCCCAAGTTTCCACGCACAGCGCATGGCATTGGTTCTTTTGGTGGCCGAGGCCACTGATATGTGCACTTGCTCGTCGTCGCCCCGCTGGTGCCCAGTCGCCGCGATACGAAGTCCCCCGTCGTCGCGGGCAACTGAAACCATTGCACGCGACCAATCACAGAGCGCAAGTGCGTGGACCAGCAGCGCGCAGTCGAAGGAGGTACCACTGGGAGCCCCAGCACCCACCGCTGCTGCCTATCCAACTCCATAGGGAGCGTTAGTCGCGACGACCTCGCCGCCGCCTCGGAGCTGCAATGTTGCGGCGGTAGAAAATCTCTCGATCCGAAGCTCCTCATGATATCAGTTTTCACAGGTAAATGACGAGACGAGGAATCTCGCGGGAAATCTCGCGGCCAGTTGTCGTGGCGCTCCAGGCGATTGCTATATCGCGTAACACTGTGCGATCACACTGCTAGTAGCTCACACTAACGAAGGTGCACAGCGCTGCAGCCAGTCGGGCGCTCTTGTATTCAGACAACGCTTTGCAACACGTTTTTAAAGCGTAGTTCCATTCTGATGTACGCCAGGTAGGACGATGAATCATAACGGGAATGCTCGCAGGGATGGAAAGAGCTTGGTCAGAACTGCTGCGCGCAATCGCCGACGAATGCCCCCCCAGCGCCCCAGTGACATGGGCGAGGTGTGTCTCCAAACGATCGATCCCACACTCGGCCGACATTGAAAATTAAGTTTGAGAGGTTTTACTCCGACCGTCATGAATTGCGTGGAATCGTTCCTCAGGCGACGAGAAAGATGACCATTGCACAAACGTCCTCGCCCCTCCGCAGCTCAGATGCCGCAATTTACCGTGAGAAGCCCGACGCACATGTGATCTACGTGCTTATACCCGCGCTAGACTACTTGCATCAACCAGGAAGTAGACCTTCGCATTCATGCAGACAACCTCCGGTTCTCGCCCACGACGTTTCCCACCACATTTCTCGCGACTGCAGAAAAGTTGGCAGCGCAGCCCGCCCTCCACTACAAACGACATGGTGAATGGTTCGGAACTCGCCATGTTGGAGATTCGTTGGGAGTGTGCACTCATGTTGACTCGACAGGCATCACCACACGTGGCATGACTACAAGACGGCGAGCTTCCGCTTTGCCAAGGCGTTGCTCAGCCAAGGGCTGAATCGATTCGAGACGGTGGGGATTTGTGGATTCAACTCGTCCGAGTGGTTTTTTTCGTTCGTCGGGACTGTCTTGGCCGGCGGCGTCCCCGTCGGCATCTACACGAGCAACAGCGCCGCCGCCAGCTACCATGTATGTCGTCACGCTGAAACGCGGTTTATTGTCGTCGACAGCCTCGAACAGCTCGATAAATTTGCATCGATCGTGCCGCAACTACCCATGCTGCGAGCTATCGTGCTCTGTACGTTGGATGTCGTCCGCCATGGAAAATGACCATTCATTCTCCCCCATGACTCACAGGGAACGCCGACGTGCCAGCCACTTTTGAATGCCACGTGCCCGTGTATTCGTTTGAAGCGTTCGTGAAGCTCGGCGACGACGGCGTCGAGGATGTCATTGTACATGCACGGATCGATGCACAGCGTCCTGGCCATTGCATGTCGCTCATCTACACATCTGGCACGACTGGCAATCCCAAGGGGGTCATGATCTCGCACGACGCGTTCATGTTTGCACAGGCCTCGCTCATGGACCCGTTCACGCGCGACGACTTCTGCAAAGACGACCGCATGGTGAGCTTCCTGCCGCTGTCGCACATCGCGGGCCAACAGTGCGACATTGGGTGTCAAGCGGTGCACGGGTCCCACGTGTACTTTGCCCAGCCGGACGCACTCAGAGGATCCCTTGGCGCGACGCTGAAGGACGTTCGACCGACGTTTCTCCTGGCGGTGCCGCGACTGTTTGAAAAAATCATGGAGAAGATGCAAGAAGTCGGCCGGTCCACGACTGGTTTAAAGAAGCTGGTCGTGACGTGGGCGAAGAGCGTCGGCACAGCGACAGTCCAAGCGTCCGTGTATGGCGGGTCTGGCCAAGTCCCGTGGGGTTTTTGGCTTGCCAACTGGCTCGTCTTTACTCGTGTGCGCGAGGCTTTGGGTCTGGACTGCTGCAAATTTTTTTATGCCGGCGCGGCGCCGCTCTCGCGCGAATGCTTTGACTACTTTGCCGCGCTCAACATCCCGATCTACGGCGTCATGGGGATGAGCGAGACGTCCGGCATTGGATTTTGCAACTTTCCGACCAAGTTTCAACCGCTGTCGATTGGGACCAAGACGACAGGGACCGAATTCAAGGTCGACGCAGCCACCGGTGAGCTTCTCGTGCGCGGCCGCCATGTCACGATGGGGTATCTCAAGAATGAGGACGAAACGAACCGAGCGATCGATGCCGATGGATGGCTGCATACGGGAGATTGCGTCCAGGTGGACACGGACGGATTCGTCACCATCACGGGGCGCCTCAAGGAGCTCATCATTACTGCCGGTGGCGAAAACGTGCCGCCTGCGGTGCTCGAGGACGTCCTGAAGCAGGAACTGCCGATCCTGTCCAATGCGATGGCCGTGGGAGACAAGCGAAAGTTCATCGCAGCTCTCTTGACGCTTCGAGCCCGCGTCGACGCCAACGGCTTGCCGACCAACGAGCTCGATCCATTCGTCGTGCGGGAGTTTGAGGCGATCGGGTCGACAGCCAAGACCGTCGACCAAGCCAAGTCATGCGCCAAGGTCGCGGCCCACATCGACGCCGGGCGCATGCGCGCTAACGCCCGCGCCATGTCTCGCGCCCAGTACATCCAGAAAGTTGCGATTCTGGACAAGGACTTTAGCATTCCCGGTGGCGAATTCACTCCCACACTCAAGCTCAAGCGGCCCGTCGTGCTCGAGAAATACGCCGACGTCGTCGACGCGATGTATCACTAAGTTAATCGAGCAGGTGCTCGTTTGTGACCATATTTCACTCAACGGCGTTCGGCGAGATCACCGTGCATGACAGCCCCATTGCACCAGCGCAAACTGCCCCCAATGGCCATTTCTTGGCGGCGGCCATACCCGTCTGCTTCAAGTCATGGAGGCAGCGTGGCACCGATTTGACGGTGTGCCCCTCTCGCCACGATGATTGCAACAGTAATTAGTCCATCACACGTTTAGTCTGTTTTTTTGGTCGACAACGCATCCAGTTCGGCTTGGAGCCGCCGCGCCTTGTCCTTCTCCGAGTCGATCCATGCCGTGTAGACCGCGTTCATGTTTTTGATTTCTTTTTCCAGCACACGTCGTCGAATCTTCTCTTCAAGAACCCACTTGCGCCATTTGACTGTCGAAATCGTTGTCGTTCCGGCAGCTTCGTTCGTCTCGACGTGGCCCATCTCCGCTTCGTCCACAACCGACTCGTCGAAAAACGCTTTCTGGGACGTGCTTTCGTTCGTGCGGAGCGACCGCTGGTGAAACTCGGCCTCCATTTTCGCCTTCTTCCGAACCGCTGCGCGCTCTCGTCGCATGCCCTGGTGCCATCGTCCATCAAGTCATGTCAAACAAAAAAGGCAAACCTCAGCCACATGCTGCGGCACGTCCGGCACGACCGCGGCGATGCCGACCATCATCGACACAATCACGTGCTCCACGATTACGACTGCCACCAATGTGTAGAACGGCGTGATGTTGGGATACAAGGTTTGAAGCACACCCGAGTTGAACCCGACGATCGTGCAGTTGGTCGCGACGGCGATGTAGCTCAGGATCGTAAATGCATGCAGCCACGTCCCGATGCCGTGTTTATGGTCGCGGTGGCAGCGCCGGTGCGTCATCAGAATCTTGAAGCCGTCGCTCTTGATCTCAATCAAGTTGTTGAGCAGACTGCAGAGACTCGCCAACGGATACGCTGACGCAAACAACGTGATTTGCCTACCCAAATCAACCGCGCAGCACTGAGCGACCTCTGGCCCAAAGAATTGCCTGAACACGTACCCGAATTGTATAAACAGCTCCAAGTAGTCGAAGAATGTGCCTTCATACACTGGCAGCAATGCTTCAACGTCCACCTGCTCGTGCGCCACAATGAGTAAGATCTTACTGCAAGGCTCAAAAGAAGCTACAAGGTAGTAAAAGACTTGATGGCCGCCGTACCTTGTCCACAATCGCGACCGTCGTGACGGACGGCTCCCGCGTGAGCTTGGCGTGTTGGTCCGCGAGCCCGGCTTTGGCTTTCACGGCCGACTTCGCCATGACGAATGGAATCAGCGTTTCCTACAAGCACTCGTGAAGTTCAAAGCAACCGGTCGGCGCCCTTGTCGTACCACGACGTTTTCAATAAGCAGACGCGTAATGAGCAGCGACCCGAGCGTGCTTTGGAGGAGCTCAAAGTTTCCGACAAAGAACGTGATGTAAAAGAGCAGCCCAAAGTTGTTGACGAACTGAAACAGAGCGAGCTTCACGATGAGTGCATTCGTGTGATCGTCGTCCGTCCGGTGGTTCTCGTAGTCGTTTAGGCGGTGGGCGAGCTGGACGTACTTGGCATCGATAAAGAAAACGGCGGCCGAGTACAGCACCGACGGCACCATCGCCACGTGGGCCCAGAGTCCCGTGAAGCCGTTGGCCGGATTGGCCACATACGCGCGGACACCAGCCTACGTGATGGCATGAGCTCCGTAAGTGGCAAAGTCGTGCAAGAGTACCTCAAATCGAAAGTACAACAGCATGAGTACGACAATGAGCCCAATTGTGCCCCCCAGCGCCGGACCCGTCACCGCATACCGCTTGAACCGTTCGAGGTCAGTGAAGTTTTTGTAGTGGACGTCGTCGATATCGTCGTAAACTTCGGGGCCGTCAAACCCGACGCGCTCCACGACCGCTCCGCTTTCGTCGGCGTCCAGCGCTGCGCCCCAATTCCAGGCGAGTTCGCTCTCGCGACGTTTCCACGCTTCGAGGAACGCCGCCGCCCATGTCGCCACAAACAGCGCGTAGAATGCCGTCGCAAAGTTGTGTAGACCGTACTGAAGTTGATACAGGTAGACTGCTGCGCCGACGAGACCAGGGTACACTAGCCACTGGGTGTAGTGCTCCAAAAAGGCAAAGTAGAACCCGACTTCGAGCCCGCAGTAGTCGCGGATGCGGTGGATTGGCGCCGGACCAAACGGGTTCAAAGCCTTTACCCACGTTTCCATCAACACCTTGCGCTCCTCGGCGTTATGCAGCGCAAACGACGACTGAATGACATGCTTCTCCTGGAGCTTCTGGAACAAAAGGTCGCCGTTCGTGAGCACATTGGATGACTCAGTCGGAAGAAGCAACACGCGCACTTGACGAAGCTGGTACAAAATGAGATCGATCTTTTCGCCGGACGAAAATGGAATCGGCCCGCCTTCGGCAACGACGGCGTCGTCTAGCGGCAGCTTGTCGTCCAAAAAGTCCTTATGATTACTCTCGTCCACATGCACCCACTTCCCCTTGGTCGTGCGTTTGCGCAGTCCGCAATCTTCGGCGAGCTTTTGGTACAAAGCAGGAGACAAGGCCCCCACGAGAAGGTAAACCGGTGCCTTGCCATTCTTAGCGTCGTGGGCTTCCTGGAGCAAGGACGAATTCGATTTGACGCGCAACGTCAAGTCCGTTTGCTCCTTGATCTCGCGCAGAAAGATCTGTAGTTCCGGGCAGTCTGATCGCATCTTGAGGACAAGCTCCATGTCCTTTTCCTCGTCGGATGCGTCGCTCACTCGCTACATCAGCCCCACGATACAGATACCGATCCCATGTTCGGAGAAGGACGTACCAATGGCACAGAGAGCACAAACTTCATTAAGCTCCATCCCGTCGCTGCAAACCCGAGCACGTACACCACGCCCTTCACGATTCCGTCGACGCCGTCCATCTTGGCTGTGTCGAAAAGTGACGACGCAACTTGAAGAGGGATATCCGGATAACGGTGTATCCGGATATCAGGTCGACCAGCGTCTTTTCTTTCGCCTTCCGCATCGTGGCACGATGCCAGCGCTACGCCGTTGCCCGATTTGCAATAACCGAGGGGCCATGGTATTGAACGCTAAGTCACACCAACGTGTTCGCTGGAGCATGTCCACGCACCGTGGCAGTCATGCTGTGGGATGTCGTTGTATTCGTGAAGCTTGAACGATCGCACAACTTTTGGAACGATCGTGTCGCGCTGGTGACGGCTACACTTGAGTATTGTGTCGCTTCATGAGGGCAATTCGATGCACGTCCAGTAATGACGAAGCGAGCAATGGATTCATTCCACGCAAACACGGCATGCACTACCTCTCCTGTGGGGATACATGCACAGGTTGAATGCCCATGCGATTTGGAAACTGTCGACCCCAATCGGTCAGCCACGAAATCGGCAGGTACATTCGATGGACGTTGCTCCGTCTGCGAAAATGTAGGCGGCGACCAACGGTGTATGCGACGTTATTCAGCGGGAGATCGTTGATAGGGATTCCAATGGTCAACGTCACGCTGTATCGTTCATCTGCAATGCTCGGGCGTCCATGCATCGTGCTGACTTCGGCCATGCTGAGCGTCGCGCGGATTCCTAGCTCGAAGCAAGCGTGACAGACACGTATAGCACGCACGGGCCACCGTTAGCCCCGCACATGTGTACATGACGAACCCATGTAGAACGTGGCGCCACCCTACTCTTGTTCTTGCAACGAACTGACCGAGAGAATGAGTATCTCGCTTTGTCGTTGCCGCAGTTCTAAGACTTCCTGAATCGAAGCGAGCACAGCACCATCGCCAACCGCATAGGACCACACTGAGCTCTGCTTGTCTGCTTTCCCCACGCTCTTGAATGGAGCAAGGGCCAAGGCGTGGTGTGCCGCCGCTGCCGATGGTTCACGTCGATGTCGTTCTGTATACAAATTCCAAGACATTCCACCTTGCCGAGCTTGAACTGGCACTGCCCCGATTTGATTGGTCCACCGACGGAGCATTCGATTTCTTGGAGTTTTTTGGGCGCTCCACCACAAGAACCGTTCAGACAACGCACGGGCGCACGATGCCGTCCGACTTCTCCCCTGACCGCTTCGCAGACAAGCTCGCCATGTGCACCGACACCGCGGCAAGTATTCAGGGGCTGAGCGGATGGATCTTGTTCCACCGGCGGGCCATAGCGGAAATGGTGGACGTGTGGTACTCGAGCTTTGTGAACCAAAAGGCTGCCCACCAGATCGTGCATTTTTACGTTGCCAACGACGTGATGCAAACAGGCATGCGCAAGTACGGTCGCGACATCCCCGACGCCTTTTCCGAGAAGTTGTTGCTTGCGATCGCGGTCACGATGTCGGAAGGGACACAGAAAACCCAAGATATCGTCCGCAAGCTCGTCCAGGTGTGGCGGGAACGGCATGTACTGAGTGACCACGTGATCGACACGATGAGCGACATGTGTAGCACTGTGGTGAAGGCACGGAAAGAAGCACTGAAGGACACGATGACACTGGCGAAGCAGCACGCAGCGACGTCAAAAGCGGACGACGAGTCGCTTGTACTGCAAGACATTCCAGACGCCGTCGACTCGGAACTGACGCGGAAAACTGTTCAAATGATCGAGGAGCTTGAAGGGGCTGTCGTGTCGACTGACCTTCTCAGTGACCGGATGTTCCAGTTGAGTTCGAACCTCCACAACTTCTTGCGGGCCACAAATGTGTCCGATGAAGATGACTCTCCAACGACAAACTGGGACCAGCTTGAGCTTCCCGTGTTCGAAATCGATCTAGAATCGAGCGCGACGCAAGTGGCTGCATTCCGTCAGCACTTGGAGGCGCAGCTGGACAAACGGACGGCTCTGACGGCGCACTTCAAGAGCTTGACCAACCACGTTGTCCTGGAGGAAACGGCTTTGAAAGAAATCGCGGTCCGCGCGGACGACGAAACCAGCGAAATGCAGGCTCTGTTTGAACTGTGCGTGGAAGCCGCGGAAGCCAAAGAACGAAAACGACGCGAGCATGAAGCGGCGGCGGCTCTGCAACGCCGCCACAGCCACACAGACGTGCCATCGACGTCGGTGCCCCATGACCACTACTTGGAACATCGACGCAGCGACAGCGCCCTCCACTCCCCCTTTCACCATCAGAACCACCGACCCCAGCATCAAGGAACTTACCAAGACGACCAGTACGCAAGGAAGCCGTCGTCGTACTTGGATCGCGACGCCAACAACGGCGGCGGCATGGACTGGCGAGCATCATCCCATCGAAGCGGCCGGTCCCGCTCGCGTTCGCGCAGTCGATCGAGGCACCGAAACACGTCGCGGCACCAAGACGAACGGCGCCGCAGTGCCGAGCGTACTTCCCACCGTAGCGACAGCCGGGACCGCCAGCGACCGTCGCGGTTCCACGACCATCCCCGACCAGACCTTGATTACGACCAAGGGTACCCCCCTCAGCGAGGTGGATGGATTGACGGCGGCGACAGCGCCAAGCGGCCTCGCCAATTCTACTAACCGCCAAGTCGATCCAAACAGCTCATGGAGTTTGGCCTCGGTCAGAATGTTGGGAAAATGCTGCATGCAAATATCTTAAGGATGGTCAAATGTGAATCGTGTCGGCGTTCGGGACGTTGAAGCCACCGTCGGGCTGTGAGTTGGACGAGAGGCGCAGGCTGGCAAGGATGTCCTGGTCATCTAGCTCTTCCTTGGATTCGTCTGCATCGTTGTCTGCATCCGACAGCGGCGGGCGCACCCACGACCCTCGGGACGAAGATTGAGCGGACGAGACAGGACTCAAGCGGCTTGTGTCATAGCGCAGGTCCCAATCCCGTTCGTACGACAACGACAGCGCGGTGGGGGCACTCTTGGACTTGCGCATGGGCGGCGGCGCCACGAATGTCTCCATCACGTCGAGTGGCAAGTTTTGCGATGGCGGGGGTGGCAGTTGGACGCCATCCACCACCACGACACGGTGGCTGCTCTGAGTGCTGAGGTAGTCGTCGTCCGAGGCATTTGGGATGCGGATACCGATCGGAATGTCCGTCGCGGGGCGTCCCGTGGAAGTGGCAGACGGCGGCGGTGTGCTATGCCGCGGCGGGCCAAACAAGTAATTGTCGTCTTCTTCGTCGCTGCTGCCGTCTTGCTGAAACAAACTCATGAGCGCCCGCGACATGGTCATTTTGCTTTTGGCCATGTCGTCGTCCACTGGGTCGGTCTTTTGGAACAACGTGAGTACGCTGGACGAGAGAGACCGCGTCAGCCGCGCCACGTGGAAGCTCGTGACCGAGCCCACCGACGGGGCAGCAAAGCACACGCCACACGCTCCGCATCGAAAACACGCTGATGACGGCACGTTGCACACCTTCATGCAACCTGGACACTTGACCTTGACGTGAAGCCCCAATTCGCGTGCGACTTGATTTGTCGTGTCGCTCCATTCGTGCTTGAGCGACTCAAACTTGGAGAGCAGTACGTGATTGCACGAAATGCAAGTTCCTGCGGTCCCGGAGTTGCGCACGCCGCACCGAGAGCAATAGATCGTGAGGGGGGCGGCGCTGGCGACGGCCGACACGTACGGAGCGTCACAGTAGTAACATTCCTGCATCCCGCTTGCGTTGTGGTGCTCACTACGTCGAGAATGTCATGCGAATGACAAATCGAATCACGAGCGTCTACCACGATCCGCAGCTCCACGACCCGTCGTTGTGAATAGCATGGGCCCTTGGACCGATGAATTGCCTAGCAGGGAAGTTAGGCAACGCGACGAGTGAGAGATCCATGCAACATACTCGCACATGGCACAGAGCGCGGACCCGGGCTTGTTGATGAAGGTGCTAGAACAGGTCACATGTCACGACAATGGTGTAGGTGGGGTCTTCGTGGTAGTACCATGTTGGACAAGTACTCCCTTGGCTCGCACTCTCGTCCATCTGGAGCTTCGCCATCGCGTAGGAGCTACACGCCTGCCGTGATGCACGAAACACGACCAGTTTGCTTGACCTCCGTTCGTACCTGTCAAGGTCCGCGGCAGGAAGGAGCGGCATTGCTTGATGGACAATGGTGAGATGCGTGATGTCGCCTTCCTCAAGAACATTTGTTTTTTGGTCTTTTTGCACAATTTCGCCAAAAAAGAAACGTTTTGGCCGTGGAAGCATCGTCTCGTCGGTCGAAGAAAAAACGTTTTTTCGTGCCGAAGACATCCAGCAGGTGCCCGAAGGGCTGCGCGACCAGAATGGACATCATGTTTACTACAAATATCAAGATAAAACGCGCCGACTACCTCTGAACTGTATGGAACGACGGCCTTGACGCAACGAGACCTGACTATGCGGATTCGACAGTACTCCAAGTGCTATTGTTCAGGCAACTCCTTGGTCCATCCGCATCGCCGAGTTGGACGCGCCGACTAGATCTGGGGCGGCTGGCAGTCTTGGAGGTTTGTGTTGTTCCAATGCTTCATGCTTCCGTTGTGTTAGTCGTTGTGTCGTACACTGCCCTTCATTCTCGGGTTGCAGAAAGGGGCAGCGGAGAAATTCATCGCAATGTCCTCTCATCAAAGTGTCGGACACACACCATACAAATGTCCATAATAACTTTCGTTCATTTAACAAACGTTTGAATCTTCAATGCTGTCGGCTGCTTCGAAGTACAAATAGATCGGACAACAATCCCACATGGCAGTCGTCAAACCCGACGCAAGCGGTCATTTGATGACCAGTTCGATACGACGCAATTGGCCTTCGACCTCACTGGCACG